GTACCGTACGTACGTCGTCGTACGAAGGTAGGTTCGTACGAACGAATACGTACGGAGGAGGGTAGGACGAGCGTCGTGTAGCGCGACGAGGGGGGGGGGGGGGGGGAAATACTCTTCATCACAGGGAAAAAGGGAATATTTGTTTTTTATAGTTATTCTAAATATGGTTGTTTTTGTAAAAACAAAAACAAAAAGAAGAAAACAAATCTGACATCTTCGGAGTTGTTGAATGTTGTTGTGCAAATAGAAGAAATATTTAAAAAACAACAGGGAGAATGAAAACAATATTGTAAATGAATAGACTCGTAGTGCACAATTCTGAAAAAGAAACAAAAACCGTACCTTATGGGCTTTCTCAGCCTTAGTTGTCCTAAAAAAGCTTTTGTGGCGGTTATGGGTTTCCTAATTGCACTTTTGTGACTGTATTTATTGTAAATAAATATTCTTTTTAAAACAAAATGTAGTCTACAGAATACATATTTACAGACAAAAAAAGGACTCATCTGTTTGTTTCAGTTTTTAGTTTTAGTTTTTATAAAAATACACAATATGAGATAATAAAAATGTTTATCCGTACAAAATGAGGTTAGAATTCGTATTTTGAAAATCGTATTTTTTTATGAAGTGTCCGACCGATAGTAGTATCTATCTCCTAGCCGTCGGCCTATCCGGCCTCGCCAGCCTGTCCAAACGATCGCTTATTTAGGGGTTTATATTAGTTTGTGTGCAAACGGTGCGAACAAGAGTACAAGTCGAATACATATTTATCGCCGAGGGTTGTATTTGGCATAAAGATTCGTGACCCTTGCCATAGTGGTTCAGTATATTTCTGTCTACGTATTTTGTACTCCTTTTTCTTTTGGTAGTCGAATATAATATCAAGAATCGCTTAGATGTTCCGATTTGTATGCACTTTTCCGTCTATAAGGTCGTCAGGCATCACACCAAGAAATTATCATGCGGGGTTTCCTTCAAAGGTAGCATCCCATGGCAACCACTCCATCGCCGGTGCTCCTACCAGACCAGTTCGTGCGGTGATTACACCTTCTGCGTCACACGCCCGGGGCATCGCCATCCCCGCTTCAACCGCCGCTGGGCACATCGAAGAGCCTCAGCAGCGGTCCCCTCGTAAGCTGCTTGTTGATTTTGGGGACTTCACCGCTGCCTATAAGTACCAGAATCTCGCTACACTTCTGAGGTCTTATTCTGTTCTCAAATTGTGTCAGTATGGGGTGCTGGTACGTAACTCTCGTAAGCTAATTGATTTCTCATACACAGTTCTAGGGGACAAGCTCACGAACCGTTTAATGGAGTTCACCTTCTATGGTCACTTCTGTGGTGGCGAGGACGCAGTCAGTGTAGAGAGAAGCATACAAATCCTCAAAAATGCCAATGTAGGCGCTATTTTAGATTACGCAGCCGAAGCAGACGTTGAGGAGGATATGGTGGACCAGGTGACAGATCTCTCTGGAGGTGTCAATCAAGATGAGATCATAGCGCGTACTTACAGCTACGAGAACGAGGCTCACTGTGACATTAATATGGACGTAACTAGACATGCAGTTATGTCTGCTGGAGAGGGTGGTCCCGGTGGATTCGCCGCCGTTAAGCTCACTTCTCTGGGTCGCCCTGATTTCCTCGAAAGTATGGCTAAAAAGCTAGTAAACAGTAACCTGAGTCTCTCTGGGTGTCTTAAAACCATGTGCGCCGAGGAGGTTATTCAGTACGAGAATATGATCGGTCGCGTTGAGAAGCTTGCAACCACGGCGCAGAAGATGGGGGTATCGCTTCTCATCGATGCCGAACAAACGTACATGCAGCCTACCATCGATCGTGTTGTTCTAGACCTACAACGTCGGTACAACAAGGACACGCCTGTAGTATACAACACTTTCCAATGCTACTTGACGGACTCAGCGAGTCGTGCTAAGCGGGATTTGGAGTACGCTAAGAAGGAGGGATGGATTTTCGCCGCCAAATTTGTTCGCGGTGCGTACATCGTGCAGGAGCGTGCGCGTGCGGAACAGATGGGGTACGAAGATCCTATTCACGACACTATCTATGACACACATAAGAATTATAACGATTGTGTGAGAATGGCTCTGAAAGACATCTCTCATTGCTCAATCATGGTGGCTACGCACAATGAGGAGTCTGTCTGGCGCACAGTTCAGCAGATGAAGGCTATGGGCATCCCGCAAAAGGGAAGTGGTGTATACTTTGGTCAACTGCTCGGTATGTGTGACCACATTACCTACAATTTAGGACGTGAAGGTTTCGAAGCATTCAAGTATGTTCCGTATGGCCCAGTTCATGAGGTTCTTCCGTACTTGATCAGAAGAGCGGTGGAGAACTCTGACATCATGGGCAGTGCCCAAAAGGAGCTGACGCAGCTGAAGGTCGAGATCAGGAAGCGTCTGACGCTAGGTCTCATGTAAGTGTTTTCCTTTAGTATTAGTTATATAGGTCATATAGTGACATTTGATATTGATTTTAGAATATGTTTGAGGAATAGATAAATATGTACATTAAAAGCTATTCATTATCGAGATGTGTTTCCTCCCTTGTTTTTCAATATCAACTGCTGCTACATCGGCGCTTTCATTCTATATTTGCCATGCTGTTGAGGTACACGAATGCTGAACAAAATTGTATTGTTATTTAGTCGTGCTTGTGCTTGCACGTTCAATTTCTACAGGGAATATTGAGTTATACCTTCGTATGTTATACTAGCTTTCAATGAGTTGCAGAGTGGTCTGTTTGTGTTAGTTCGAATCGAGGTTTGCGGAACCTCGTGCATAGCCTCTTGTCACTTCCCTTTTCATGGAAGTTTTTAGTGCCTTTATCGCTAACGAGACGAATGAGACAAGAAAAACAAATCACGCGCACGTCGTCGTGTCTGTGTGCATATTTATGTGCAGCTTCAAAAGAATGCTATATCTTGATACTGTACATACAAGAAGCTGTGAGCTTGTCAGTAGCACGACCGGTATTCGATTGTGTGAGAGCTCGACCAACTAGCTGCTGTGCCAAATATTTGAATTTATATACCGCCGCCGTCTTGGCACGGAATGGCGGCTAAAGAAGGTTCTTTTAATGCTCTTGCAAAACCAACTCTTGTCCTAGAGAGAGAATCTCGATTCATCTCAAGTATACGGCGACGTGAATATTTGTCGCTGGGGACGTCGCCTCTAACGTAACCTTTGTACATCATAATGTGTTAAAGTATTTTGTCTCGGCCTGATACTTCGACAACGTGAGATTCAAATGTTGTAGACATGCTGATTGCATTTATAGTCGGAGATATCAGAAGCACCTGGAACAAAATGCATGCCGTAATTGGAAGTGGGCAACGTCTTATGTGCTAGGTCCAGGCACCATAGCTCAGAATAAGAAAGAAAAAAAGGTGAAAACTCTCATATCTTGTTGCATGCGTATTGCTTGGCATGAGGCAAGCAAATGGCTATTCCTCGCTTATGGGAGATGGGATGAAGATTCATCAGCGTTCTGACAAAAATGTGACAGCCGTTGTTTATTCTTAACAAACCGGGATTCCATTGAGCACACACATCGTGTCTGCACATGTGGGCTTTATTGTACATCTAGATTCAGTCGAAGCCGGCCATGCGAGCAATACAGGGCCGGCAGTTGCATGAAGGCAGACGTACGATGATCGTGGACAAATAATGGTAGCCGATGCACTCACTTTATAGTATTTTTATTCAACCACCTAGGTACTCCCGAAACACTCGCACAGAGTAGAGTATGGTCGCTGTCGACGATTAACTACTTCATTATAGGACGGTAGTTGCTAACTTTAAATTCTTTATTCTGTATTTTTGGCTTTCCTCTGCGATTCAACGGTATAAATTCAACTTTTAGCTGTCCAATTCTTCGATAGGGGTTTCCTGTAGCCATAGATTGTGGAGTTGCTGAAAAAGCTCTTCCGTGACGGACACTTTATACGGAGAAGGATTCTGTTTCCGGCGAATATCTGGTCTGATAGACAGAATCTGTTCCCTCACGTATTGCCTGATCTCTGTAAAGGTGCAGCAGCCGAGTGCGACAATTTGAGGAGAGCAATGATTAGTAACAGAATACAAGTATTTACTATAGTACTCTCTCAGTGGTTAGTTTGCCGAAAAGTCACGTGAAGATAACAGGGTGTGTAGTCGGAGCCCAATGAACATACCTTGACTGGTTCTTTCAAATCTCGATTCTTTTGTGATTGACCCATTCGCCCACATAAGTTGCATCAGGGGTATGACCTGGCAACAACGCATTAGAACGACATGTGAAAAGGCTACTACAAAGAGAACAAGTTGTACTCGATAATTATGTCGTCGCATACCTCAGAACAAGTTGTACTCGATAATTATGTCGTCGCATACCTCTGTGGGTGTCACGTAAGCCCTTTTGCGTGGGATAAACGGGTGGCGACACAGCACCTTCTGACCAGGAGACGGTATCTGTTTGATTGGATACATGCGGATGTATCTTTAAGTTCAGCAATACAATATGAAAACGTTGCGCAAGAAATCCCTAAAATCATATTTTGTTGCAACATTTAGTTGCAACGGTGAAAACGACGGTGGAAATTGAGCACACGACGGGCGATCTGTAACAATGGCCTACCTCAGACGACTGTGCGGTCAAGATGTCCAGCATTGCAATACCCTTGTGATTGACCAAGCGGAAGGCCTTCTTCCTGCCAGGAAGTGTAACCTGAGATGAAGGGTAAATGTGAAGAAAAAAATTATCGCCATCGGGCGGGAAACAAGCAAAAGGTATCTAATTTTGCACCCTCGACGGAGTTCAGATTTGCTTGAAGTTCCCATAATGCGATGCGATAAGCAAGTGAGGAACAGTGCTTACCTTGCTGATCTCATTACTGAGTTTAATCCTGGGTTTATTGTCAATCTCTACTAGTTTATATACACATCCTAACGCTGGTTGATTTTGACAGGTTACCAAGTTCGTTCCGATGCCGAAAGATGTGATTTCATGACCTGTTCACAACAGATACAAAGCAAAAGTCAGACCGACGATTTTTGAGGAAAGCGACGAGTGGATGCAATCTGAAGAGTGTGGAATTCTATCTCTACGAACGATTACTAAACCAGTTCAGATCGTAAGCAGCTAAAGAGTGCCACGAAAAATGGGTTTGGTGGAGCCGAAATACCTTCAGACTTCAGAGAGGATAGAGTAGCTTCATTGATATCGTTGCTGGCAACGATAGGCATGTCCCCGAATTTGAAGTCGGCATCCACTAGCTCCGGATACTTGTCATCCATCGCTCTGAATCGAAAAGAAGAGGTGGGTGTCAACCACTAAATCATTGGAAAGAGATTGAGCTTATAAACCTAGAAGACTAAAACCATCGCAAACGATACTCATAATATACGGATTAGCCATACCTAAACATGGCTCGAGTCTCGACCGACAAATAGGACAGATCACCGGAGTCAAGTCGGATACCATGCGGGGTTAAACCAACTTTTCTTAGAGCGCACGCAACCGTTAAGTAGTTGGGGACACCGGACTACTTGTAAAAGGGGAAAGCGATGCACTGTTCAGTGTCAACACACCCGATCGCAAAAGTACTCTATGTGATGTTGCAATTTGAAAAAACCTCAATATGATAAATTACAATCGCAAACGTAAAAGCACTGGCACGTCTGTGGAATCGGTCAAACTGTGTAAACTAGGATGTATGATACTATGAATAACTCCACTGCACTAATGAAGGTAACAGGAAATTAAATGTGACACAGAACACTCTTCACCAACACCCCTATAAGTGTATCGGACAGACATATGTAAAGGTAGGTAAGGGTATCTACAGTACCATGACGTTAGACAGTCCAAACCGTAAACGAGAGACGGTTCGGGAAAAAACCAATGAAATAGCCCACTAATCTACTACCAACCTTAAGTGTATCGTAGGAGTCTACCAGGGCGAGGAATGTGGTTGGGAATGACAGTGCGTAGTCAACAAACGCAGCAAGTTCACCTTCGTTGGTGCCATGGTATTTGAGTTCTTTGCGGTACTCTGCAAAACCATCGTTCAACTATTAGTTCAGTGTAACGATACATCTTTGGGGGAGAACCATCTGACACAACTCCGGGCGACAACAACTCAAAGTATAATTTTAACACAAGTTCAATGACATGGCGCATGAAATTTCATACCGAGACAAATCTCCAGAAAAGGTCGCTCAGTGTTTCCAATAGCCGACTTTCCATTATTGCGGACCTCCTCCAGGCCGGTGAATGAAGTCACAAAGGAGTGTGCATGGGTGCCCTTGATAGGGATACCTAGCATTTTACCAGCCAACACATTGGAAGTGCCGTCGAAGCCTCCCATATAGGCATATCTATAATGTAGTAGTTACACTGATTTACTAGAAATTTTGACGAAGCTACGTTCAGTGGGCAGCTTCCACGATTAGATACAAACGAAAAATCAATCTGTACAACACAATCAGACCACTAAAAAATTATAATAAATCACATGTGTACACGTATTTCGATACAAATGTCAACTGTAGAAGAAGGTACCAGCATATGTAGTCTGAAGTGTATTGGGTATTAATTAAATTTCCAGGCCAAATTATAATTACCCAAATGTAGCAACATCAGACCTTTAAACAAATTCTCTGTTCAGGACCAGTCATGGCATATGCATGTATATATATTAAGACAAGTGTTATTTATATGTAGGTAACAATACGTGTGCCAGACGAGATTTCCAATACTCAGTTCCAGATCAGATCCTTTACGAGACAGGTGTGCATGCAAGCATCAGTTAGAGCAATGTGCATATGTGGGTACAATGCGAAGCCAATTGAGACAGAAAAAAGAGCAATTTACTAAGTGAATTCTTCCAAGTACCTGGATGCAGACAGAGCACCATCAGGACCTTGAGCTCGTCGCAATCCAAACTCTAACAGTTGGGCCTCGCGTCCAGCGCAGTGACGGAACCGAGCAGCGTTTGTACAGATCAACGACGCATAATTCACCAGGCACAGAAGTGTCGTTTCAATAAGCTGTCGTGATAGAAGAGCACAGATCATTAAAAAGAGAGCATTTCAGGTCTCTAAATCAGAATCTCAACCAAAATTTAGAGGCATTACGCAACACAATTGCGCATTGCTAGTCGAAACCACCAAATAAAGGGCAGCATACACACAAAATCCACAACAAATGAGTCTATAAGAAGCATGCAGGTGTTATCCACCTACCTGCGCAGTTGCGATAGGGCCTTCGACTCGGATCAGGGGTACGCGTGGGAAGCACACTGTTCCTTCGTACAGCGAATAAATCTAATAAATATAGGGTGCGAAAGGGGTTAGTTCCTTTAGATATAGCGTTCAGTCCTCTACCAGCAAAATCAAAGACACGAACAAACATACCTTCTTATGGGGTAAGAGCACTACACTAGAAAAAAATATTACATGAGTTCAAGCGAGTAGATGGAATTTCTTCCGCTATATGACAAAATGTAAGACAATCACGACCACATTCACGACCACAACTCCTTGGTCAGTTTACAGTATGATAGTCGACCACAAGCTTATATATTTCCCATTGTGGATCCAGGAGTAATCAAATGCAACGAAGAAAGTATTCCTGGGCAGCATACGTCAAAGACTTTGTATAACCGCGATATAGGATCAGTTGATGTACATTGTGATAAATAGATGGTCCAAAGTCGTGTTATATCAATATAATACCTTTAAGTCTCCCATATCCAGCTCGTGTTGCAGCCAGTGCAGGTAACCCTCTTTGAACAGATTGAGTGACCGCAAGTATTCGATGTCATTGTCAGTTACTTTGAAGTTGGCTAAGAATTTGAGAACCTGGTACAAGAAGCGAGTACGAGGACAGGATAAGCAGACAATAGGCATGTTGCTGTGCTAGATTTTATCTTTCACTCCTCCCCCCACAAAAACCTATCGAGACCGTCGCTGAGAAAACAACTTAGTTTATAGAACTATGAATTTAGGTACACCGGCAGGCGGGTCAGGGATCGCACTGAGCTGACATGCATTGAGAATAAGATGGGAGATAAAAAATACTGCCGATGATTGGATAATGTGTGCATATCCAAAATGGTGTAGGTATAACTACGCAGACACAGTCCAAGATACCACATAACTTGTCTAGAAACCGTCATAATCGGGTCAAAGTAGTGGTGTACGTATATTCAGTTGGGTATATGTGCCAAAATATACCAAAATCAAGCTCAACACAACAAGAAAAGAAAGAAGACAACTAGGCTCTGAATAGGGGTTCGAGCGCAAAATTATATGCTGATTTTTATCTACTTCTAGTTTGGGCATGTGCACTAGAATATTCCCAAACGGCATCGCATAACGCGGCAACGCTATATGCAAATTCAGACCGGACAAAAGTACGTAAGCTTTACTTCAATATAGTTCCTGAGAAGAGATATGTCCGTACATGTTTCGACATACCTCACCCAGTCCTGCAAATAGCGTGTACTCGCCGTGGAACGGATTTTTACGGAAAAACAGATCGAATACTGCGCTCTGTTCGTGTCTCCCAGACTCCCTGCTCAGTGTGTTGTGTGAATAGCAAGGCAACCCAGTAATAAGCAGTAATTATGATATCAGAAACACGTGTAATAGAAATGAACATGACTAGCTTGATACTTGTTACAAACACATAAGAATATTGCGCCTGGCAAACTATTCAATAGCACCTTTAAAAGAAACCATTATATGTAGGCCAGGATAACCGATATATATAT